GAATGTAGCGGAGCATTGAAGAACCATTTTTGGTTCCCCAAAGAAACTGAGTGAACAGTTCTAAAAATAACTTTTTTTCTAAGCATGAAGAATATTTTAATAAGATCATGTGGTTCCAAAGATGTTTAAAAGGGTCACACTGGGTGGATCTTTATCATTATAGGGTGGTTGTGTACACACACTGCCAACACACATTTCAGTTCAAACAACTTGCAAAAGTGCATGTAGCATCCGATGACCCCTTTAATGGAGGCCTATTGTGCCCCTTTTTACAATATGTAATATAAGTCTCTATTTCAGTTCAAACAACTTGCAAAAGTGCATGTAGCATCCGATGACCCCTTTAATGGAGGCCTATTGTGCCCCTTTTTACAATATGTTATATAAGTCTCTGGTGTCCCCAGAATGTGTCTGTGACGTTTCAGCTCAAAATACCCCACCGATCATTTATTATATCATTTTGAAAATGTCTATTTAGAGTGGAAGCAGAAACACGCTTTTTGTTTTCGTGCATGCCTCTTTAAATGCAAATTAGCTGCTTATCCCCTCCCCCTTTTCCAGAATAGGGCTGTGCCTTTACAGCTATTTCCTCACATACTCTGCTAAAAAAAAATCGTTTTGGCTCTGATTATCATGTTTATCGTGCTGAAATCATGTAAAAAAATCGTTTTGGTTCTGATTATCATGTTTATCGTGCTGAAATCATGTGTTTTAAACCATATTAGTTTAAACTTCTGATATAGGGTTTTCTGAGCGCACACATCTGAAGAACGCGCACAGAAAGCGGTGGTCATATGACATGCAAGTACTAAACTAAGTTCGCTTTCATGTCTTATTGCGCTTAAACTGTCAAATACACTTAAGTTTATGTTAAAAACACAAAGGAGCTACACAAACAGTGGGTTATGTCTATGAAGGTAAACAGCTGGGAAATAAACCACTTGTTTATTTGAGATCTGTGTGGCAGCAGCAATATACAGTAAATAAATCAATAAATGCACTGCTCTGTTGTCCCGTCTGAGGCTGGGACTCTAAACAGTGTTCTGTGCTCGTCTGTGCAGCCAAACACAGAACAGTTAGCATGCTTTGCTCGAACTTTCGCCATGGCATTAGAGCTAGTACACCGTTGTCGCTTGCGAAAACACAATAATGGCACCGTGGGTGGAAACTTACAGATTAAGGGGCGGTAATATTATAATACGATCCCCTTTATATGTCACCGGGGAGTGAAATCTGACGCATTTGTTTTTCACAAGCTTGCAGAGAAAGGCTAACCAAAAAATATTTACTGGGTTGTTCTTTTTCACGTTTTCTGGGTTGGTAGATGCACTAGGGACCCAATTATAGCCCTTAAATATCAGATTTTCATGATATGTCACTCTTAAGGTTCTTCATGGAACCACTGATGCCAATAAAGAAACTACTTTTAACAGTACAGGTTTGATTTCCAAACACAACCAGAATGAAGCGGGTTAGAAATCCACTGTCTCATGTGAGCAGTGCCATGGACACGATCAAACAGAAGAAGAGCTGAGAACCGATCATCACTGACATAGATGCGGTTCAGGACGACTGACTGCAGCGTTTACAACCTCTCGACGACATTAACACAGAATACATGAGGCGAGAAAGAACGAGAGGAGGAACAAATATAGAGACACAATGGAGGACATCTCAGAGTGAGCAGATGAAATTCAGACAAAACACGACAAGTATTAATTCCAGTGGTGCCAGTGAGTAACTGTGAGGAGTCTCTATTCATATCACACATTAGCATTAAACTGCATTGGGAACTGACAGACTCTCTACAGTTGAGCTTCTACAAGCTCAAGCAGCACAAAGGAAGATTATTCCTTACATAAATCTGGGTTTATAGCCATGGCCCAGAACTCGCCGTCACTGAGCTCACAGAAGTCCGGTTTCATGGCTTCCTGTAGCTCAAACTGCAGATCAGCGGTTCCCAACTACATTCCTGGAGGCCCCTCAACACTGCACACTTTGCGTATCTCTTTTGTCTGACACAGCAATTTCAGGACTTGGAGTCTCTGTTAATGAGCTGATGACCTGAATCAGGTGTTTGATTAAATGTGCAGTGCTGGAGCTCCAGGATCAGGGTTGGGAACCATTGCTGTTGATCACGGTTGAGTTCCCAGGGATTGCATAAATCGTAAAAAAAAAACCTTGAATGCAATGTTAGTTGCTTTGGACAAAAGCATCTACACCAGGAAGTCACTAATATTCCAAAACACATTCATTCACTGGCTGCTGGAGAACAAGCCCGTGGCCTCCACCATTCACAAACAGAGTCATTTACTGAGCCAAAACTGAAAAAACATCGACTCCAGAATCACACCTTCCTACACTGGCACCTACCGTGGCTTCCCCTCGTCAGGAAGGGCATCCGGTTGATGGCGATGGGCACGGTGCCGTGTTTGTTGTGGAAATGGTGAACGTGATGTGTGGTGCTCAGACTTGACGATACTCTAGCGGAGACCGCTGGGCCCGGGAAGGCGAGCAGCGCTAGGGACAGAACCAGCCGCCATAACCCGGACACGCTAGTCCATAAGACCCGGGGCGGAGCGACAGCTGGGGCTCGTGGGTAAAGCACTAATCCACTGGACAGAAGCAAAGCCCTGAGGGCGGAAGAGAAAGGGGGCGGGGCCTCCATGCCACGCCTCCTCACGTGACAAAAACAGGAAGACATTTCAGACCGAGCCGGTATCCATGGTTTCTAGATTCCCGCAGATGGGAAAAAAGCATCGATCATGTGGAACAAAAAATATCTTGGTTGTTTAGGATCATGTAAACTGCAAACCAAAAACAAAAGAAAAAAATCGTTTTGGTTCTGATTATCATGTTTATCGTGCTGAAATCATGTGTTTTAAACCATATTAGTTTAAACTTCTGATATAGGGTTTTCTGAGCGCACACATCTGAAGAACGCGCACAGAAAGCGGTGGTCATATGACATGCAAGTACTAAACTAAGTTCGCTTTCATGTCTTATTGCGCTTAAACTGTCAAATACACTTAAGTTTATGTTAAAAACACAAAGGAGCTACACAAACAGTGGGTTATGTCTATGAAGGTAAACAGCTGGGAAATAAACCACTTGTTTATTTGAGATCTGTGTGGCAGCAGCAATATACAGTAAATAAATCAATAAATGCACTGCTCTGTTGTCCCGTCTGAGGCTGGGACTCTAAACAGTGTTCTGTGCTCGTCTGTGCAGCCAAACACAGAACAGTTAGCATGCTTTGCTCGAACTTTCGCCATGGCATTAGAGCTAGTACACCGTTGTCGCTTGCGAAAACACAATAATGGCACCGTGGGTGGAAACTTACAGATTAAGGGGCGGTAATATTATAATACGATCCCCTTTATATGTCACCGGGGAGTGAAATCTGACGCATTTGTTTTTCACAAGCTTGCAGAGAAAGGCTAACCAAAAAATATTTACTGGGTTGTTCTTTTTCACGTTTTCTGGGTTGGTAGATGCACTAGGGACCCAATTATAGCCCTTAAATATCAGATTTTCATGATATGTCACTCTTAAGGTTCTTCATGGAACCACTGATGCCAATAAAGAAACTACTTTTAACAGTACAGGTTTGATTTCCAAACACAACCAGAATGAAGCGGGTTAGAAATCCACTGTCTCATGTGAGCAGTGCCATGGACACGATCAAACAGAAGAAGAGCTGAGAACCGATCATCACTGACATAGATGCGGTTCAGGACGACTGACTGCAGCGTTTACAACCTCTCGACGACATTAACACAGAATACATGAGGCGAGAAAGAACGAGAGGAGGAACAAATATAGAGACACAATGGAGGACATCTCAGAGTGAGCAGATGAAATTCAGACAAAACACGACAAGTATTAATTCCAGTGGTGCCAGTGAGTAACTGTGAGGAGTCTCTATTCATATCACACATTAGCATTAAACTGCATTGGGAACTGACAGACTCTCTACAGTTGAGCTTCTACAAGCTCAAGCAGCACAAAGGAAGATTATTCCTTACATAAATCTGGGTTTATAGCCATGGCCCAGAACTCGCCGTCACTGAGCTCACAGAAGTCCGGTTTCATGGCTTCCTGTAGCTCAAACTGCAGATCAGCGGTTCCCAACTACATTCCTGGAGGCCCCTCAACACTGCACACTTTGCGTATCTCTTTTGTCTGACACAGCAATTTCAGGACTTGGAGTCTCTGTTAATGAGCTGATGACCTGAATCAGGTGTTTGATTAAATGTGCAGTGCTGGAGCTCCAGGATCAGGGTTGGGAACCATTGCTGTTGATCACGGTTGAGTTCCCAGGGATTGCATAAATCGTAAAAAAAAAACCTTGAATGCAATGTTAGTTGCTTTGGACAAAAGCATCTACACCAGGAAGTCACTAATATTCCAAAACACATTCATTCACTGGCTGCTGGAGAACAAGCCCGTGGCCTCCACCATTCACAAACAGAGTCATTTACTGAGCCAAAACTGAAAAAACATCGACTCCAGAATCACACCTTCCTACACTGGCACCTACCGTGGCTTCCCCTCGTCAGGAAGGGCATCCGGTTGATGGCGATGGGCACGGTGCCGTGTTTGTTGTGGAAATGGTGAACGTGATGTGTGGTGCTCAGACTTGACGATACTCTAGCGGAGACCGCTGGGCCCGGGAAGGCGAGCAGCGCTAGGGACAGAACCAGCCGCCATAACCCGGACACGCTAGTCCATAAGACCCGGGGCGGAGCGACAGCTGGGGCTCGTGGGTAAAGCACTAATCCACTGGACAGAAGCAAAGCCCTGAGGGCGGAAGAGAAAGGGGGCGGGGCCTCCATGCCACGCCTCCTCACGTGACAAAAACAGGAAGACATTTCAGACCGAGCCGGTATCCATGGTTTCTAGATTCCCGCAGATGGGAAAAAAGCATCGATCATGTGGAACAAAAAATATCTTGGTTGTTTAGGATCATGTAAACTGCAAACCAAAAACAAAAGACAATTCCAATTTCCACGATGCAATCCAACAGTCAGGTCAAGCACCCTTCAAAAGCAAAAAAACTGCAATAATAATCAACTAAAACTGCTAGGTTAATCCAACTAATAAACTACAAACCTCCAGTTAGATCTACATCGAAACACAAAAGCAAAGAAAAGCCTCAACCAAACTAGAATCCTCCCAAATCTGATGAGTTGATCCTCAAGTTTGCCAAGAGGTTATCCATCCAAAGTCCAGAACGCTAGTGCCGAGACACACGCTATCCTGGAAAACTCCAACAGACGGAGAAATCTTGAATTAAAAACAAAACCAACAGAAGAAAAACAGAGAATGAGAGAATGAGAAACGAGACACAGAGAGAGACGCTTGTTCAAACGACGGATTCTTCTATTAGATGATCAAACCTCCAGAGACCAGCAGAAAACACAGAGACGTGAGCTGAAATCGAAATCGAGAAGGAGGGACTCCAGCCTCTGGGACGGAAACAAGGATCCGGCTGTCTCTTCTCAGCTTCCCCGCTCCTCTTCCCTACAATCCACGGCTCTGATTAACTTTATCTTCCTGTCGGGGTAAATCCGTCCCGGTATTCTGCGGAGGAGAGCTAATGAAACGGACCCTGCAGCATCACAGGCTCCATCCTCTCGCTGATCTAGCGGCTAGAGACGGCAGTGATGCGCCAGAGAGACGAGGACAGAGACAGAGAGAGAGATGTGGCAGTGCTGAAGCTGAGGAGACGCTCCGCTCGTGTGAAAGCAAGCCTGAGAAAGAGCGAGACGCAGCTGCGGACAAACACAGAGAGAGACGGAGGAGGTGGGAGGGAGCTCAGGTTGTCGTCGAGCTGTTCCCGGCTCAGGTGCTGCAGGCCGCCGGCTGCTTCAGACAGGAGGGTACCAGTTATGGCACTCAGCCAGGCCTCTAGTCGATCCCAGTGGGCATCAGGGCTGGATGATAGAGACATGCTGGCTCACTGGTGAAGAGAGAGAGGGAGAGCGAGAGAGAGAGAGGGAGAGAGAGAGAGGGAAGGAGAGAGAGAGGGAGGCGATCAGGGAAACACACACTGGTTACTGGTTTCTACTCTCGATGACTAATTTAGTCGCAGTGAAACCTAGTGAACCGCTGTTTCACTCACATTCACACCCACAGGAAACCAGAGATGTTCCTCTGATAAAAACACACCACTAATCTCACGTGTGTTTCTCAATACGAACTCAATCGCTTCTCATCAAATCATCTGAGCTGGTTGTCAGATGTCTGTCCCTGATTTAGCTTCTTCAAATGAATTTCAGAATTGACACCAAAACTAACAACTGAGGGCTCTCTGAATTCTCTTGAGAATATTCTAGAATGGCTGAATGTTCCATTTTAATATAATGCCAAATACATAAATGTACTAGTAACTATGATAAAGATTATGCAACATAGGGGTATTATACTGTACATCACTGAAACTGAAACTAAAACCTTAAAAAATGATACATAAAAAACAATTGACAAAAACACGACAACCATCCAAAATAAAAGTTTTTGTGTACATAATATATGTGTGTGTGTGCACTGTATATTTATTATGTATATACAAATACACACACATGCATGTATATATTTAAGAAAAATATATTATCTATTAAATATATGTATATATAATATACATTATATGAATTCAAATATATACATATAAATACATATAAATAATATTTTCCCAATAACAGCAAACGGGAGCTGATTTAGACTAGGTACTACTAGAAAAGCAGCCTAGCTACTTCATCACAGCACACAGCAGACTCTGGTGATTAAAGATATGGACTCAATGATCTGAAGAGCTTCTGAACAACAAGCAATTGTGTGATTCATTTTAGAAAGCAATTGCTTTCTCATCATGTTTGGAGAGAGAAGCATCACCAGAGGTCGATAGAAGCGCCGAGAGGAGAAGCTGTGGCTCATCACGAAGCAGAGAAGACACATCACATAACATGTGGATGATAAAGATCTCAGCGGGACACGGTTCTCTGGACGGAGAGAAGACCACTGAAGACCTTCTGCCACTGAAGACCACAAATCTGAGCAGCACTGAAAGATTTCATGGGTTCATTTGGTTATCATGGGTCAGTTAACCCATGCTGGTAACCCAGGAGCTGTCTACAGGAACAAACATCGTTTTTCATTGGAGAAAAAAAAAACTAATTACATGGTTAATTTATGAAAGAAACGCATGGGGCCGCTCAGCTAAAAATAAACATAAAGGTATAAATATGAGACGGCACATTGAGCTGTGCAGAGCCGACGTGATACGAGCGTGTAGGAGGAGCAGAAGTGGGTTCGCTAGACACTTCTGATGCAGATTAATCCCACTTACATCTGATTATGATTCCACACGACACAGACACAGCGATGACGAGACGAGCGATCTGCAGGAGCTCATGCAAACATGCTAAAGCAGTGCATGACGCTCTGAGACGTCTGCAGGTGTTCCTGAGCTTCTGCGAGCGAGTTCTGAAGAGCTGCTTTTGAAGTGCGTCTGAGAGGCTCATGTGTGGAAGGCAGATTTGGTTGTGTGAGTCGTATCTAATCTTCACCGGATGGGGTCTGGACCTGCTGCCGGTCGCTCACCTGCGTCCCGCCGCAACAAAAGCCAGCGGGCACGCGGTCGCAGGAGCTAACGCGATTACACACACTTGATCTGAACGGCCTTCCCCTTCCATTACACGCTCCGCCAACACGCCAGCAGCGGAAACACGCTCGCTTATCACGACTGTAGCTGCAGCCGCGCAATACTGACGGTCTGAGCCAGACGGTGCTGAGATACACACATC